GACCAAAAGTGTGTAGGTATCTCCCTTTTGTCACATGCATCACAAAATTAGTTATTTTTTTCTAACTGGAGTAAGATGGTGCCTTATTTTAATTTTTTATCTCCCTCATAGCTCATGATGATGAGGATTTTTTCATGTAGTTTTTGGTCATTTGTATTTCTTATATTGAGAAAAACTTATTCAGATATTTTGTTTGCATCTTGCTTTTTCTCTCAGTTGTTTATATATTCTGGATATTAATCCTTTATCAGTTGAGCAGTTTGCAAGTAATTTCTCCTATTTTACAAATTTGTCTTTTCATTGTTTCCTTTGTGCTGGAGTTACTTAGTTTGGTATATTCATTTCTTTTCAAAGATTTATTTGTTTTAATTTGAAAGGTAGCTTCACAGAGAGGTCAGACAGAAAGATCTTCCACCTGCTGGTTCATCTCCCAAATGGCTGCAGCCTGGAACTGAGCTAGTCTGAAGCCAGGAGATTCTTCTAGGTCTCCAACATGGAAGCAGGGACCCAAAGACCTGAGCCATTTTCCACTGCTTTTCCAGGCCATAATCAGGGGCCAGGTTTGGAAGTGGAGTGGCCAGGACACAAACCAATGCCTACATGGGATGTTGGTGGAGGCTGATTTTTTAATTTCATTTTATGATTTTAATATGAAAGATGGGAATGTCTGCTGCATATGAACCCCCAATTACCCCAGCACCATTTACTGAAGAATCTCTTTTCCCCAGTGTGTATTTTTGTGAGGTCTGTCAAAGATAAATTACTTGTGGAATTGTTGAATAAGTTCTTGAGGCTTTCCTGTTCTGTGATGTGAATGTCTAGATTATGCCATTTTGGTTATACTAGCTATTTTGTAAGTCTGGAAATTGCTTTAGTGAGTCTTTCAGTTTTGTTCTTTTTGTTCATAATTGCTCTGGCTACCCCAGTTCATCTGTGCTTCTCTATGAATCCCAGGATTTTTTTTAAATAGATCTAATTAGCAACTTAGTAGCAGCCTCATACTCCCCCTACAGTGCCAGCATCCCTTATGGGCACTGGTTCAAGTGCCAGTTGCTCCACTTCTGATCCAACTCCATCTGTATGGCCTGGGAAAGCAGCAGAAGATGGCCTAAGTGTTTGAGCCCCTGCATGCATGTGGGAGACTTGGAGAAAGCTTCTGGCTTCTGCTTAGCTCAGCCCTGGTTATTGTAGCCATTTGGGAAGCAAACCAGTGAGGTCTCTCTCTCATTCCCTGTCTGTAAATCTGCCTCTCAACTATAAATTTGTCCCCAATTAAAATTATTACACAAAATGATATACATCCTAATCATTCAATACATGTATATAATGTATATTGTTAAAATCAGCTTAATCAACATATCTCCATTTGGTATTGCTTCACAAATGGCGTATTAGAATCCTCTCCTATTTGCTTATAAAATATGTAATAGATCATTGTGAGCTACACCTTCTGTACTGTAACACTAAAAACATTTCCTTTCTTTGTAACTCAGATGTAATACCTGTTATCTATGCCTTCTTATTACCCACTACCCTTTCCGATCAGTAACAATTACTGTTCTTTGATTAGGCTGTGGTTTTTAGTTTCCAGGTATGAAGCCTAACATTCAGTATTTACCTTGTGGTGTCTGGCCTACTTCGTTTAATGTAATATCCTTCAGTTTCATTAATTTTGCTACAAATGACAGAATTTCATACTTTACCAATTGCTGAATGACATCCCACTGTTACGTATTTATCACATTGTCTTTAAATGTTCAACTGAAGATAAATATTCTTTTTTTTAAAGATTTATTTTTATTATTTTTTTATTGGAAAGGCAGATATACAAGGAGGAGGAGAGACAGAGAGGAAGATCTTCCGTCCCATGATTCACTCCCCAAGTGAGCGCAACGGCCGATGCTATGCCAATCCAAAGCCAGGAGCCTCTTCCGGGTCTCCCACGCGGGTGCAGGTTCCCAAAGCTTTGGGCCGTCCTCGACTGCTTTCCCGGGCCACAGGCAGGGAGCTGGAAGGGAAGTGGGGCTGCCGGGATAGAACTGGCACCCATATGGGATCCCGGGGCATTCAAGGTGAGGACCTTAACCACTGCGCCCCCGTGCCGGGCCCAAGATAAATATTCTGAATGATTCTATTATTGACATTTGCCTTCAGTTATTTTTCTCAATCCTATTTCAGCATAGGAAGGAATTTCTTCATTAACTTTTTTTTTAATTTCTTGCCAGTCATTGCTCCAAGTTCATTGTTATGTACAAAGCAACAAAATACAAATTCTTAGTAGCTTTGCAACCTGTGATTCTCTGTTTCTGGCATGGTGCATTCAATGAAGAAATAGCCATTATTTATGTGAAAACAGACAAGTGAAATAACACTGACTTCCCTTTCTGTTCCAATGAATGGAAAGAGGAAGAAAATATCTAATTTTCTTTCTAAATAAAAAAAATATGAATTCAAATGTTGGCCAAATGATGATAATAAGCATAAAACCTTAATGCTAGGCAAGGCTATAAAAAAGACAAGGCAAAGGATCACTTAGCAGTATGTTTGCTGAATGTTAAGGTCACTTGTCTGATAAGGAAGAAGTCCTTACATGATTAACAGGCTTTTGTGCTACCTCCAAACTAGCCTCTATGGCCTTTGAGGAGAACTTACTTATTCCAAAGATGTAAAGACTAGTGTATGCACATGATAATAAGACACAGTTGAAATTGCTTTGTCTCATCACTGTGTTTGCACACTTCTGTTAATACCAACACCCTATTCTGAAATTGAATAGTAGGCGTAATAGTGGTTCCCTAAAGATACCCAGGCCCTACCACCTGAAATCTGGGTCAAGTTGGTCTTGCCTGAAAAAAGTCACTGTACACATGAAATTTTGTTCAGGATCTTGAAGTGAGAACAATATAACCTTTTAATCTAGATATTCCCAATGTTAACAAACATGTTCTTTAGCAAGCTAGAAGGTGGGAGATGAGGGATACATCATGACAGAACAAGAGGATGTTAGACTGTTGGCTTTGATATTGGAGGAAAGCAGCATCAGGGGAGGAATGAATGGGAGTGGCCTCTGAAAGCTGGAGAAGGCAAAGAAAACAGCTGCCTGATGAGCAGAAGTAATGCACTTCTGCCAATACGTCCATTCTAACCAAGGCAGACTGAGGGCACTTCACCTCTAAGGCTTCAAAATAATGTATTGTGTGATTTAAATCCAGGAAATTTGTGGTAACTTTTTAGAACATGAGCAGAAAACTTGCAATGCCGAACTCCTATTTATTACCAGTGGAATTCTCTTCTTGTGTCTTAAGCTTCCGTAAGATGTGGAGCCAGACAGACTTTCAGCCAAATATTTAACCCTTGATTCTGTATTTTACTGTATGCTTGCTTTCTTTCTACTTTGGTGAGCTGGATTGTGCAATAAGAAATGTGTATATTCCTTTTGTATCATTTACTTATGCTAAAACTGTTTCTATGAGGTTAACATTCAGTTTTCTTTCAACTGGGTCTGACTAAAATCCTTCTCAGCTTTTTTAGTATCAAATGTATCACACATGGGCTGATGTGTGACCCAAATTCATTCATGGGGACACGAGGAAATGTCCACCCTCCTCTCCAGAGAATTTGGTAATCAGGCACCAAACCCATGATCATGAATATCAGAACAGAATTCATAGTTACTTAATCTTCCAATTATCAAATAAGCTTCCTACTACCTAATGGAGTGTTAAATCTGTGATTGTGAAGCAAACGGAAAATATGCCACTATAAAAATTTTAAAGGAGAGGGAAAAACAAAACAAAACAAAAAGCTTTGCAGCTAATCTAGCAGTTCCTAAATGTTTTTAAAACATGGATTAAATTCCTTTGTGTGAGTCACAAAAAATGTTGTCTCCAACCAAAATCTCTTTTCAAGTAATTTCTTTGTACCTCTGCCTAAAACTTCATTTACAGACCTGTGATATCCCATTTCTGCCCTCTGAGGAGTGCATGAGTTTTAGGAAGTCAGTCCTGGTATCGTAACTTCATTGAGCACAAATACTGTTATTCATTCTTATATTTTCAGTACTGTAGAAGAAAAAGCACTCCATAAAAATGCCAACATTTTAGCTTTTAAAACGTATTCCTTGGTGAACTGGGATATTACAAGCTGAGTTTCCAGCTAGAATGAAAATCTTTTGAGAGATGAATTTGTGACTGCTATCTGAACTTCTTAAAGGAAACAAATTGCCCCCCAAACTCAAATCCCATGAGGAATGGAACATCTGGGAAATAACTTCTGCATTTGCACACTTGATTGACATAATTTCCTAAAAGCTTCACATCAGCCCTGTGAGCCATCATTCTCTCCGTTATACCACCCTGTGGACGAATAGGGTACAACACACATCTTCAGCCTCCGTCTTAGCAGTTTAAGATGCTTTGGCTAAGAAGGGTGGTGACAAACAATTCCATGTGAGTTTCGTTGGAACATGGATGCTATCACAAGAATTGTGTTTTATAGGAATATAAATAAAAACTGTGTAGGGCAACAAAAGGTAACACTCTCGGATTACAAACCCAGCTCTGAACTTTTAGTTTTTAATTCTTTTCTGGGCAATTCCCTAAGTATAAGTATTACAAATTTCATGTCTTTTTTAAAAAAAAAATCCTTGATTCTCCTATAGAACAGGTGTTCCTACCTTCAAGGCCTCTCCATGTCACAGTTGGACATTTTCTGGACCCGTGGGATATGCAGTTTTGTAACTCTGAATTAGGATCATCTTTGCTTTTTCTCTCTGACTTAAATAAGGGAAAGATTGGGTTATTCTTTGTGAGTTAAGTTAAGCCCAATATTGTTAAATTTTCTTGTCAAATCATAAATATAGACAATCTTCCAGTACTTAGAATATTTTGACTTAAGACATTTTTGGCTTTGCAATTGTGCAACACACACATTTGGTTGAAGCTGTATTTCAAGTTTTGATCTGCTCTTGGGATAACAATATATGATCCATCCCTCTCTTGCAGGGCCGTGCAGTGCAGCAAGCCATGATTTCTGATCAGCCCTGCAATTGTGAGGGGGAAGCAACCAAAACATGACCATGGACTACGTAGCAGAGCCAAGAAGTGTGGTAAGTTAAGTGCTGTGAATGTATTTTCAATATATGATATTTTGAATTTACAAATGTATTATGGTATAACTCATTAGATGTCTAAAAGTGTCTCTACTGCTACAGCACTTATGGATAACTCAAATCTTAGGAATATTAAGGAAACATTCCCTCTGAATTAATGTTGTGTTTTAAACAACCCCTAGGAGTAGGGGAAAAAACAACCTCTGATGTTGTTAGTACAGCAAACTGGAATTTGGGCTGACATAACTGCTTCAGCCTAAGTTGCTCAAAACTTGACTTTGCTAACTGAATGTTGGTATCTCGTAAGCATTTTGAGCATTTTAAACACAATGTACTTGACCAGCCATCAACAGTACTTGGAAAAAAGTTCTGAGTGCTAAGAGGTAAGTTTTTTTCCTTCCTTAAGGAAAAGGTAAGAGGTGTTGATTACATTTAATAGTTAAAAGTTCAGTAAAACTATGAAATTTTAAATCTTACTTTCATTTTGTTGGAATAGTGAAAATACAAACCTATGTTTAATACTAAATGCTAATACATAGTTGAGTGTGGCACTGAAGAAACTTGTAAAGGAACTGGTACATGGTTATTGTTTTAAATCCATACATCATTCAAACTCCAATCATTAGTACGTTAATACAGAGTCTGATGGTTAAAAAGGCATTTACTCTAACATTTCAGAAGTATGATAAAAGGGGTAGTTTTTTTTCTTAGTCATAGGAAAATTGATTGCTTGAGATAAATTGTCTTGTATTATTAACTAAAGGTTTTGAATCTCGATCATTTTAATATGGGCATCTTAAATGTTGCATATTTTTTAAAGAATATTATAAGGACTGCAAGAAAATGAATCTGGAAGTCAGGTAAAAATAAGTTAGAAAAGATGCAGGCAGGGAGAAGTTCACTTAGGAAATTTTGGTTTATCCAGGATAGGAATAATGATCTTTGGTTGCAGCCAGTTAGGCTATGTACAAAACAAGGATGGGAGTAATGCTGCTGAATTAAAACCAGTGTCATTTGCATATGATGGTTGGCTTGGACACGACTGAGCAGAAAATGTGAAAGATAAATTCCTTCCTCCCACACAGCCAGAATGACGCAGTGTCTAAAAACCTGGCCTTGTGAATCAGAATAATATTCACTGGAAAACCTCTTGTGGTTTCAGTTCCTCTACTGGAGAGTGGAGACAGTAATATTTCTGAAAGAATGGAGGAGTACTGTAAAGTACTCAGTTTGGTGTCTGGAAATCACTACTGTTTGAGCCCAGAGAATTATCAATATTAGTGCCTGTATAGTAAAAGATGTGATTCTCATTTTCAAACTTATTTCATCTACTCTTTGGTAATTCTTCCTAATAATGCGGACTTTCTGCTACCTGAAATATTAGGATTACGCTTTGACTTTTTAAGTTATTAGTACTGTTTCTATAAAACTAGATAATATTTCTACATATGACTCTTCCTCAAAAAGCAAAGCTATTGTTGAAGGTAATGCATGCAGAATCTCTAAGATCACTAGCTTCTGAGATGCCAAATGCAGCATCTGTGCTCTGAAGAGATTTTGTGATAAGCCAAAAGATGAAGACAGTGGAAAAGAAAATAAAACTTTTGCTCCATTACATAAAGAATGAATGCAACTGACATTCTCGTGTTTGAAGATACTACTAAAGAGATTATTAGAATAATCAGAATAATATGTGAATGTCTCAAATGCAATATAAAGCATTGGCCATCAAGTAGTTCATCTTTGAGTTCAAGGTGATTATTTAGGTTATATTATACATTGCAAATCATTTTTTTTGTTGCTGAGATACTATATTTAATGGCAGAATGCCCAAATTAGTTGTTGGTAAAATTGCCAATTTTCTAAAAATTGGATTTTTAAATTGGAACTGTTACTGTATTAAGAGTCAGGAATCCACGAATCCAGTTTTAATCCTAGATTTACATGCTTTTGGCCACTGGGTAAATATTCCTCTCTGAGCCTTGCTGGTTATATCTATATCAGGGGATGATAATTTCATTCATTCTACTGAATGCAGAAGCTTCTAATTCATCCAGTTTTTGTTACTGAATGCCTTCAAGCATCAAGTACTATGATAATGTTAATGATGCTTCTATATGTGAAATCACTTTGAGAGTTTTAAGAAGTACAAAGCTGAGGAAACGTCAATTTTTAGAAAAATAAATATAAATAATTATTACACATTTAAGGATAAGAAATAGGATTTTGGAATATTTATTTTCTGAATACACAAATGCCCACACACTTTAAAATGAAGCCTTTAGAGAGCATTTTAATCCTCAACATAAAATCTCTTTCTGATAAGTTCAAATACCAACTCCAGGATTTTCATCTGTTAAACACCTTGCCTACCGCGAGTCTTTTGTTCTGGGTATTTAACACCCTTTTCTGGCAAACATACAGCAAGGGTTTCAGAAAGAAAATAAAACAAGGCCGTTTTTTTTCCCCTAAAATTAAAAGGTGCTATTCCCCAGGAGAACCAGGGCTCGAGAGCATTATTTTGACAGATGTATTTTTTCCCTATCTTCATTAGCTTCAAAGTGATCCATACACTGTATTTCAGTGACAATACTCAAATGTAAGTTTAAAATACTGTGATAAATTGTGTACTCTTTAACATGCTCATAAATTGATGATATGCTCAAGTATATTTTTGCATTGTTGTTAAAGCACCTGATAATATATATTGTTTCGCTAGAGAAAACTCTCTAGGCACTACATGTCATGAAACAGAACAGGCAGTAGTACTAATGAACAATGAAGTTTGAGGAAACAAGCTAAGGAAGAGGAGTGTGGAATCTAGTGGGAATCAGGTTGGAATTTAAAAATTGAATAGGCATTGAAAGAAGGGCATGATTGGCAGGTCAGAGAGCATGACTGGATCTTACGATAGCCCATTATGATGAGAGTTACACTGAAGGTCACCCCAAAACCTTGGTTCCCTGGGATAGTGCAGGAGGGAGATAAAAGACCAGACTGGCTTTGGGTTTCTTTTTCTCCACTGAAGAGTGCTGAGTAAGGGTCAAGTGAATTTAGCACAGACCAGATGAATAATCCCACTACTGGGAGGAGATCCAAGCAAAAGGGTTCTCCCCTTTTACAGACCCATAGGACCGGAGGAAAAAGTGGGAAATACTAGGAGTAGAAGGGTACTGAGTCAAAGGGGGAAAAATCATTGATTCATCATTAATCCCTCAGGAGGAGGTCTCTAAATGAAGATAAGCCTGTATGTGGAGGTGACTGCTTTAATATGGCTTCAGTAAGAGAATATCAGTAGGATGAACAATAGCCTTCATTGTATGTCCTGTAAATGTTGGATGTGAATAAGTTAAGTATGTTGAAATGGAGGAATTATCCCTGCTATCCAGTTGGGTCCAAACAAGGTAATAACTAACTTCTGGTGAATATACTACGATGCCAGAGACGCAGTCCAAGAAATGTCAAGAGCCCTAGAACCTGAGGAAGAGAAGCAATAGATTCTTCCCAGGGTCTCCAGAAGGAAAAGGTGATGCTGAGATAGCCCAGTGAAACCCAGTTCAGACTTCAGTAGAGCTACCATCATAGATAGGTGGATTCAGCCATCTAGTTAATTGTCAGTAGTTAGAATGGCAACAGATAAGCAAGAAACTAATACCCTGAATTGGCAGTTAGATACATGCATTTGTGGACAGCTTTGTGTTTTAGTTCTTCCTAGAACTCTATGTGGTTGTTAACATTCCTTTCTCACAAAAGTGGTGGGATGCAAAGGAATTATTTTGCTGAAAAGCTGGGAAGGTATCAAAAATAAACCACTGTGCAGAAGCAGTAACTAAGATAAACATTGTGCAAGTATACATGAAACATTCTTTGGAATCCTTCCCAATCATAAGGTAGTGACCCAGCAACATTTGAACACTTACTGTTATACTTATTTTAGGATATCTCTTTGCTGATATGGCCTAAGCATTTGCTATATTTTCTTCATTTTTAAATAAGAGGTGAACAACATACACTATTAAATCTTGTCACCTAAATGGTATTTTTTTTGGTAGCTATTTCATTGACATTTCTATTTTAGTTTACATAGAGCCGAGTTCTATACATCTTAAAATGGCTATAGATTACTGTTCAGCTGTCTTGTGTCTATTTTCATTATAATATTTAGCATTTTATACCATTGAAGCATAATTTTGCTGAACCTGGCTTTTTTTGGGGGGGTAGTCTAGACTGGCTTATAACTCTAACAAGACATATGTCAACAGTTTAGGTGCAGTACAGTTTTAGGAGAGGTGTGAGAGAAATCCTCCTTACCCTAGTGAGGAGTAACTAATATTTCATGTCTTCCTCACACCTTCTAGGTTGATGGAGGATTTCTCCACTCTCCTGCCCCGTTACAGAATAACACAGGCAATTAAAAGTATATTAGGTTTTACAATTCTTTGATGTAGATCATAATCTGTCTGACTCACATTGATTGTTGGTTCGTTGGTTACTTCACAATATCTTATTGTATGTGTGATAGGCTGTTTGAGGTTGAGATAATATTACAATTTACAGGTACTATTTTTATATTGACATCAATTCATCTTAAATTAAGGCAAACATGTGGTATCTAATTTTTGGGGATTAGCTCATTTCCCTTAGCATTATGGTTTCCAGTTGGACCCATTTGGCCACAAAGAACTGCATTGTGTTTTCTTAACAGCTGAGTAGTATTCCATGGAGTAGATGAACTATAGCTTTCTTATCCAGTCTTCTGTTGATGGGCATTTTGTTTGCTTCCATGTTTTTGCAATTACTGATTGTGTTGCTATGAACATAGGGGTGCATGTTGGTTTCTTGTGTAACAGGTGTTTTGGATATATTCCTAGGAGTGCTATTGCTGGATCATATAGTGTGCAGATTTTGAGTTGTTTGAGTGTTCTCCATATTGATTTTAAATGGCATTTTTGATGTGGTTTCCTAAGTATTACTTAAGACAGCATTTTAGGACTAAT